TATTTATATGTTGGTAGGAGGAACTATAAATATTGCGCTTTTTTTCTATTCTGAAATGGATTTCAAGAAAAAACACACTAAGGATATAACTCTGTAATGTTTTAGCAATTGAAAGCCAAGAGCTGCTGAAATTGAAGTTAAGAACTCTTTTAGGACAAATTTAAGTATTATTAGAAAACATATATAAAGCTCTCCCATTTCTTGGCATCAAGGTGCAATTTATGATCCACTTTCACATGTTATCTCATTTGGTGCTCACAGACCCCTACAGGGAAATTGGACAGGTGGTGTTATTATGATTAATATTTCCATCTCACAAATGAAGCCACCAAAGCTCAGAGAGTTTCAGTGGTTGCCTGAGCTCACAAAACTCTTAAATGGCTCTTCCAGGGCTCAAGGTCAGGTGTAGCTTTTTCTTCTGCACCACATATTCTCTTACATACCTGGTGACATTTAGAAAAGACTGAATGCTCACAAAAGAGTTGGCTTAGAGGTAAAACATCACAACAATTAGGAGTTCCCTAAGAGGGGTATTTTTGGAAAAGGCACAGTGGTTGGGTAAAACATGAGCAGCACTGTGGAGAGTTTCTGTTTGACTCATTTATCACCGCTAAAGAAACCATTCAGGGGAATCTGACAGTCTTCAGAAGTTTTTCCAAACTCAAGGGAAATTTCTTTCATCCCTGCAGCCAGCAGAGATTTGTGACAGCAACTCCGCAGTGCTAGAACCCAGAGATGGAAGCATCTGTCTATCCCTCAGATGTGAATTTACAAACAAAGAGATTGAGTCACCTTCCATAGGATAGGAAGTATCATTGGAAGCACATTTCTACATTCCTCATGTCGCCAAGTGACAGTACACATTGTCATCAGAAAAATAGAGGGAACAAATGGACATCTTAAGTAGAATTCTTTATCCAGTGCTATAAAGCTTACTATTTTAGCACTATTAAAGAAAAAAATTCTAACCAAATTAGTGTTCGCTATTTATGAAAATTTGACAAAATCATTTGATCATGTACTTATGGAAAAGAATATTGGATTGTTAATGTCGATTCGATAGGTTTAGAAACTTTGACATACTGTTTTGGAAAATAATATATGGCTGCTCATTGTGAAACTTGTGATAAATGAAAAGCATTCCAAATCCTTAATTTTTTTAAAAAAAATATATTTGTCAAAATCATCTTTCAAAATGTGAATTTGGACTCAGACCTAAATTCAAGTTCTGGTTCTGCCACTAATTTGTTAGACAATGCTGGCAAGTCACTTGACTTTGATAAGTTTTTGATTTTCCATGTCTAAGATGAGTAGCTAGATGAACTTAAACATGGATTTAGAATAACCAGGTTCTGTCTGTTTCCCATTTTGGCTGTAGGGTCTGAAAGAGTGAGTGGCATGTGCTTATCATTCACTAAATATTTCTTGCATGAATTTAAGGTGACTTATAGTTATAGTATCCCAAGGTTTTATGTTATAAATTTGAAGAATTTCTAAAGAATATGAAATTTTCAAGATACAAATATGCACACACACATACACAAACACTTAGAATTAGACGATGTCAAGTATTAGGGGAATTTTACTTTACTCCTTTGTTAGAAGAGGAAAAAAAGCTTTAAAATAACTGCTATCCTTAATCTGCTGGATTAGTCTAACTTTTCACTGCAGAATCAAATTTAAGGAGGCATGACTTAGAATTCTGAGAAACTGTTTTCATTGAGATACTTCATTCATACTAATGAAGGAGTAAATTAAGGCAAATAATATACATTTACTTCCTTGGAAGATAAGACACACTTGGATATGTTAACCTTAGACCAAACTGATAAAAGTTTGTTTGTTTGTTTTTGTTTTGTTTGTTTGTTTATTTATTTATTTTTATTTTAGCTTAGCTCACTGGGCTAGGTGAAATTGGTCATTGTTGGCCTGAATACATTGTAGCCATTTTTCATCAATGTCTCATTTTACACTTTCCTTTGCACATCTTTTAAAATCATTTTCTTTAAAAAAATGCTTTTATTGATTTTTAGAGAGAGAGGAAAGTAAAGACATAAAGAGAAATATCGATGAGGATTGGAGCCTGCAACCTGGGCATGTGCCCTGATCAAGAATTGAACCAGTGAACTCTTGGTTCATGGAGTGACGCTCAACCACTGCACCACATTGGCCAGGCTTTGAATCCTTTTCACTCAGCTTCCCTCTTCCTTAACAAATTGTTTTTGCTCATATTACAGTCCTTTACCTACAGGAATGAATACATGGTTAATACCTAGAGGTAGTTATAACTTAAAAGAAAACCATTTCTTAAACTAATCTCCAATTGACCAAATTTCAGGCAATTTAACAATCTCACTGGATTACAGGTGTTTCTCATATCCCATATAACATTTAGGCAATAGTCTGCTACAGTGGCACTTCAAACTTGTGAAGCCATGCAACTCCTGTTTTAAACAAAACCAGGCAGTAGTCCAGTTGATAGAGGAGATTCAGATTAAAGTACTTTGGTGGAAGCAGGGGTGGGAATCCAGAACCTTCCCCACTCATCCTACTTCTTTCTCCAGCCATTGCTGTATAGTGCTCCCCCTTCCCACCACCCCAACAACCCTGGTAAAAGGCCAGCCCGTGCTCTTGCATCAATGCACACACCAAGTGAGAATGGGTGAGTGATATATAAGTAGGCAACTTTTCAGCAGCCTAAAGGACACTTTAGGTGCCTACTACAATAATAAATCACATTCACATTTTTTATCACTTTGAGAATGTGGTGAAAGGAGAAGTGAACAGAATAAGCAACTTGGGTTTTGACTATTATTCTCTATTTCTGTCTTATGTTTTCAAGTTTGGTGTATTACATGGTTGTGTTGGAAGATAAATATGGACAACTAAGTGTATTCCTGAAGTCAGTGATACTATTACTAGCTCCTTTAATATGAATGGTTTTCCCTTAATTTGGGTTTTCCCTTACTGGTATTTTGAATTTAATCCAACCACCAAAGCAATTGCAAAACTTCCAGTGGTGTTTTCCCAGCAGTAAAGATTTTGAAGATGGCCTCCGGAAAGACCACCCAGATCAGTTTTTTTTACATTTCTCACCCTGCAGGCATTTCTAACCTAATAGTTTCCAAACCAAACTCTTTCACCTTCCCCCAAAACCTGTCCCTTCTCTTGGTTCTGCCAATGATCCATTCACAAAACTAAAACTTTAAAGGCACCATAAAAACAGCACCATTAAATTATAGGGGCTCTAATATAGGCATATTATCTGTCAATCAGAATTTTTCACTTCAGCACTATTGATGTTTGGGGCAGGATGATTCTCTGTTGTGGGGGCTGCCCTGTGCATTGTGGGTGTTTCACAGCATTCCCAGCAGTCTCCTCTAGGCTGCTGGAAAGTTACCCACTTATATATCACTCACCCATTCTCTCACGTGGTGTGTGCATTGATGTGAGAGCACGGGCTAACCTTTTACCAGGGTTCTTTGGGGGTGGGGAAGGGGGTGATACACAGCAATGGCTGGGGAAAGAAGTAGGGTGAGTGGGGAAGTAGGGTGAGTGAAGCAGCCTGACCTCCAACCCCTTCTAAGCTTCAGGATAGAAAATGCTTCCAGGCATTGTCAAATGTCTGCTGGAGACAAAATAAACTCTATTTGAGAACCACTAATGTGGATTGTGTCTTTATTCTTCACAATACCCAACAAAGGAAGTATTGTAACTTCATTCCACATTATAGAGATGTGGAAACTGGGTCTCTAAGAAATTAAGAGACTTAGCCTTGGTCATGTGTCTAAGATGTGGCAAAGCTGGGTCAAAGTACTGTACAAATGGTCTCCCCTTCCCTCTGGGCCTCTGTTGCTCAGTTCTCCTTTGCATCTATTTTTTTCTTCTTTTCTTTTTTTTTTATTTAATTGTGTTAATTTTTCGCTGGGAATGTCTTGATTTTGCCCCATTCTTTCTATTTCCCTTAGCTCAGACCTGTATTTTTATTACCTAGATTATAATAACTGGGCTCTTTATCTCCTAGATTTCACTTTTAGTTTCAATCTCCCTTTTACATTGCTAGCAGATAGATATTATTACATAGCTGCCCCATTGAAACCTTCCCTGTCTTCCACAGCGCCTATAGCAGTGGTCTTAAAGGCAGTCCTGGCACCAGCAGCATCCCCTGGAATCTTGTTAGAAATGCAAATCCTTGGGCCTCATCCCAAACCTACTGAATCAAAAACTCAAGGGTTAGGGCCCAGAAGTCTGTTACAACACACCCTCCAGGTGGTTCTGATGCTTGTAAAAGTTTGAGAACCCCTGGCCTACTTGCTAGAGCTCTAATGCCTTAGGTGCCATGCAAACCTTTGACTTCCTCCCTCCCTTCCTATCACCCCCCGCCCCCTGCCCTGCCCCCTGTTCCTTGCCACTACCTTTTCTCCTCCTGTCCTACCCATACATTTACCCCGCCTGTGCTTCAATTTCATTCTGTCACCAGCTGCCAAACATGTATTTCTATCCTAAGCACTGTAATATAACAAGGCAATCCAGCTCCTGAATGGCTTGCAGGCTGGGCTGGGGTGCTCCAGCTACACTATTCACTCACGTGGAGGTAGGTACACATCCTGCCATTTTAAACCACAAGCCTCTGCCATCGTGTCTCTTTCCTGGTGAACTCCTATGTCTTTCATGGCTCATTCTCAAATGTCCCTTTTTCTTGAATTACTCAGGCTAATCCCCAGTTTCCTTGAGCGCTCACTAGCTTCACCACATCCTCTTGTTATTTCACTTGTTCCCTGGTGGCATTAGCTTCTGTTTACCTGTCCCCTAGAATACAGGGTATGTGAGGGAAGAGCCTCCTCTCATCTGTGTATCGCCAGCTTTATGACCAGGGTGATCAATCCAGCATACATCAGAATTCTCTGAGAGCGTTGTAAAAATGCCTCAATGTCTACAGGTGCAGAATCTTGCAAATCCATATTTAAAAAATCCCCACACCGTAGTTGAATCACTGCACAATGTCTTGCACAGAGCAGGTAGCGAATCAACATTTATTGATGTCTAATCAATTACTTAGCAAGCTTGCCTGGAGAATCATCTCAGCCTACCCCTCAGCTTGCTTTTCCCGTTGTGTGTTTTCTCTGCTTTTGATTTCAGTTTCCATTTCCTTTAACTTCCAAGTACTTGCACAACAACCAAAGAGCAGCCATCACTGACACAGGCAAATCTTTGCTTAGATGATTGTAAATACTGACCTAATAATCTCCGGCAACTCAAGGTCTGCAGTCTCAAATACCCAGCAGTAACCTCAACTTAGGGTTACCTGTTCAACAGTCCCTCAAGTATCTCTCAGGAGTCTAGCCACCTTGCGGCTACTCACTCACAGAAGAGTTAGCTTTATTATCCTCTCAGGTTGGTTGTGAGACTTTAACCAGACTCCCCCGTAGAGGCCAAGTCAGCTCAACTCAGCACCGGGTCGGGCGCGGCCAGAGCTGGTACCTGTGATAAGTAAGGTTGGGGTTGCCAGACTGGAGCACGAACGGGGAAGGAAATCCCCGGGGCGGGCGCAGTTTGCAGCTGGTAGCAAGAAATCGAAACTCAGCTGTTAAAACCGCTGCCCCTGCTCTTCGGAATCGCAGCTCGAGACTCGCTTAGCGTCCCGGCCCGCATCCCTCCTGCAGCGGGCCGGCCGCGGACGGAGCTATGTACACCCACAGCCGGGAGCTGGGCACCCCCGCCGCCTCCGGCCCGGCCCGGGCCTCCGTGCGCGGGGCAGGCGGACCGGGGGCTGTAAGTATTTTACAACACCCCTTAGAGGGCGGAGGGGGCAGGAGCCTGACCCCAAATTTACCCACCGCAGACACCTACCTTCTTCATCAGTACAGTTTGAAACCACAGGGGCCCAATAACAGGGCTTTTGAGAGAAAGGACGTTCATTTGCCTAAACAAAAGCACATGTAAATGGAATGTGTGAGTTCTTTACACATTTATCTGAGCCCCTATTCCTTTCAAGACCAACAGTCTCTTGATTCTGGCGACTGGCTCCAGGATTGAAATACTGGGCGTGGAAAAACTGCCTTGGCTTCTTCCTAATTTCCAGGTATCTTCAGAACTCGTACTCGTTAGAAAAAAATGTCTTACTCTATCAAACACCGGTGCCCTAAATGCTGTCTCCACACCAGCTGCAAGGTCAGGGAGAAGGGGGCATGCGCTAGGGGGTTGCTCCCAATGCTGCCTCCCAACGAAACTCGCAGATAAACTAGCCGCGTAGGACCAGAGGAGTTGAGGAGAGAGTGCGGAAGTGACTGCAGTTCCTGTCCCTGACATTGATGAGTGCTCTTCATATTTACTCTTCATCTTTGGTTCAGGGACTACAGTTGGTATCCTGGAAACATTTGTTATGCAAAGTGTCAGCGGTTCTCTCTTTCTGCCCAATAAAATGAGCTTCTGTAACTCAACAGTATGATTTGTACAGACATTATTGCTTTTGAAGTGCTACCTCTGTGAATTGGAACTGTCCAAATGGCTTCATTCCTAGTTCCCTCTTTTCATCAACTTCCAGTCACGTGAAAGACAAATGCTGGTTGCTAAGGAACAATATATAACTTTATGACCAATAAGCAGATTTTCTTTCATCCCTTAACTTTAGGGAGAATTCATAAGTACCAGGCTTTTAATATTATTCAGTTTAGGGTTAACCTTAGTTGAGGTAGATGAGCTAGGTGGTTTCAATGCGAGATTGCTACATTTTTCTCCTCAAATAGAAGCTCATTAATTTCAAGTAACCTATATCTCCTTAAGCTGTAGCATTTAATGTATCAGAGGTCATGGGCATTTAGTTTCAGGTTGATGATAAACACCCTCTACACACTTCGTTTTCTATTGAAAATCATCTACTTAGGTACAAAGCAAATAAATATCCAGTAAAATATTGGGTGCTGATGGCCTTGTATTCATTGAACATGTTTATTGACCACTTATCCTGAGGTGGAGTGTTTGTGCCTTGTAAAAGCATACTGACTTAAACACATCCACCTACTCACATATAAATATAAATAAATAGATTTTAAGGTAGTCTCTTAAAATGATTTCGGAGGACCGTTACTAATAGACTCCAAGGCAAGGCTGAGTTCTTGACTGTATTTGGATTTAAATAGTTGCAAGTATATTTACTAATTCATATTGGCTTTCCCACTTATTTTTAGTTGGTAATTTTATCTTGTCTTTAAATATCATAAGCTATCTACACAGAACTAAAGAGAAAAAAGTTCCCACAAACTTCTAATCCAAAATAATTTTTTATCCTTCCTTTCAGTAGTTTGCTTGTTTGTAAACATCTTACTCACTTATTCATAGCTACATAAGTATAAGACTAAGGCCTGGGTTTTTCTGGAAGGGATTTTTACCTTGCTTTACCCAATTCTTGGCAATAGGCTCTTACCTGTGATCATAACATAGGCAGGCTCACTTCATTCAGATACTTGAACTATACCTGGAAGTGGCCTTTTGATGCTGTTGGAAGGAAAGACACACTGAAAATGAACCCATACTTTGGAATTTTACTAAACAGTTAACTTTAACATATGTATGTACAAATTCAGTTTACCTTAACATATTTGTAGCCTGCTTTATACTACAGGAGTTTAAGAACTGTAGAGAGTTAGAGATGAGCAGTATTAATAGCAAACACATGTTGTGCTTAGTATGTGGAAGTGCATGACATATATTAACTCTTTCAGTCCTCACAGCAACCCTATATTAAGAGAGGATTTCTAACTCTGGATATTTAATTAAAAATATAGGGACAGATAACTACTCAGCAAAAGACAGGCACTAAGAAGCTTATAGTCTAACTGTTGGGGCAGACACTTATCAGATAATTACATGAATAATTCTTTACATGTGTTATAAAGGAAATCCAGGGCCTGAGCTAGACTTGGTAGCAGGAGGTGATGTTTCAGTGGCAAGTCCACAGTATAATTAGGAGTTGTGTGGGGTTTTTTTTCTTACAAATATGTCATTCCAACAACAAATAACTACAATTCAATTCAATCCTGACTCTAACTCCTCAGAGTTAGAACAGATGCCACAAATTAAGGGTTTACTGCCCTAAGACTGCCCCCACTTTAGGAGCAAGCCACAAGTGGGGTCCCCAGGCTACCAACATTTATTCCCAGCTGACTACAAATTTGGGGTTCCCATCACTTTTCTCTACCTCTAGGTTCAATAATTCACTAGAATGAATTACAGAAATCATGGAAACTACAATATTTATGATTACAGTTTTATTATAAAGCATATAACTCAGGAACAGTCAAATGGAAGAGATTCATGGGGCAAATATATGTACAGCTTCTATACCTTCTCGGGGTAGGTCACCCTCCCAGCACCTTGTGTGTTCAAACTCCCCAAGCCTCATTTTTCATTCAAGAATTTTTATTCAGGCTCCACTGCAGCATGACTGATTGATTATATCACTGGGTAGTGTGATTGAGCTCAATGACCCAAGGTGGAGGTGGGGTGGGGAGGGGACCTGGAACTTCTAACCATTAAATCACATGTTTGGTTTTTCTGGCAAACAGCTCTCATCCTGAAGCTATCTAGAGGCCCTCACCAGGAGTCATCTATTTCATTAGCATATAATCCAGGCTTTTTGTTAACGTGAAAAAAAAAAAACATTCAAACCCGTAAATAATTTTTGTGAGTTTATTTGAGTCAATCTGTTGACAATTGCTGGGAAACAGAATGTTGAGATAATGCTACAGAGAATGACAGGTTACATCTATATTTATACATTGCAATCAAAGGAAGGATATAGGTGGGTTACATGAAATCCATTGATGATAGACTAGATAGGCGGGAGAAAGCAAAGTGGGGTTGTGGGTGAGGGGTATGGGAGGGAACCTTGTGATTGGATAAAAAGTAAAATGATAGACAATACTTAGGTGGGTGCAGGGAGGTGCAGGACATTTCACAGTCAACCATGAACTCAGTAACAATGAGGAGATGTGTGGTCTCCACAGAGCGGTGCCTGTGCTCCGAGGGGTCCAGAAAAAGGAAAATTAAAAAGGGAAGTTACAAGTTACCCAGGCATTTCAAGGGTATGTTATTTTAGATGCAAAAAGACAGATAGGCTCAGTTAAGGTAAAGGTTGACCTTGTCAATGAAGATCCCGGCCTAGGATGTAACTACCCACCATAACTGCTTTGAGTTAAAGCTTAATTTCAGACCATCCTTTGTGGTTACTTTAGGGCTCTGAGTTTGCAAGACTGCCATGCAGGCCTCCCCTGAGCCTGTCAGGTCAGCATGTGGCCCTTTTCGTCTACACTTTTATCATTTGTAATTCCAATGATTTTAGGAGCTCTGTGCCAGGAACCAGGATGAAGACTAAATATTTATTTATTTTTATTAACAACAGGAGTTTAAATAGCTTCTGTGACAGCCAGGGAAGCTTGCTATGCAGGTCCCTATCAAAAGGACTTACTGTGAAGGGCATAGCCAATTGACAGCCTCTGCCGCCACCCTTTTGGATCCATTACACCAGTGGTTCTCAACCTTCCTAATGCCGAGACCCTTTAATACAGTTCCTCATGTTGTGGTTTCCCCCAACCATAAAATTATTTTTGTTGCTACTTCATAACTGTAATTTTGCTACTGTTATGAATCATAATGTAAATATTTGATATGCACGATGTATTTAGGCGACCCCTGTGAAAGGGTGGTTCG